CTTGCGTTTTTGCGGCAATACCGTATCCCACAAAACGCAACTACGTTTTGCGTTTTACGTATTATACGTAAAACGGTAAACCAAGTTGCGTTTTTGTGAAGTATTTGTACTCGTCGTCGCCGGCGAAGTCGAAGGCCAGCGAGATATACAAAACGCAATTCGCAAGTGAGGTTTTGCTTCGAATCGGTTAAACGCAAGTTGTAAATGCGTTTTTGAAACGTTAAATGCGTTTTTGAAACGTTAAATTTTTCCGGCGACTGCCCGGCGAAACAACCTAAAACGCAATTGAGAGTTGCGTTGTGTATTGTTCATTTAATTGAATTTTCAAGAGTTGATTAATTAGTATACAAAACCGAGCATTTGATAACAATAGGTGGGTTAGCGTAGTTGGTAGAACCTCAGTTGAACCAGTGGTAGTGGTCAGGGTTTGAATCCTATTATTGTATGTACATATGTTATTTAATGTTTTTCGAGTTATAGTATTAGTATTAATAAATGCGGTAATATAAATGAAAGATTTGTAGCTGAGTTGGGTTAGCATGCGATCGAATATGTGGTTTTCTAGGGTTCAAATCCCATTTATATCTTGGCGTTTGTTTTTTGGAATTACGCAGGTGTTGTGTAAGTATAAAAAATTGGGCAAATGGTAATAAAAGATGGCTTAGGATGAGTTCGAATATGTGGTTGGCCAGGGTTCGCTGAAATTTATTATTTTTGATGTTGACCAAAGTTAATCGATAAAGACGGTTGGTATGAAATATCCGTGACGGCAAGTTGTGTATTATAAAATATAATTTACATAGATTTGAAGGATGAATTAGTTGAAATGTAACAGGAAACTAATATAAATGTTATTCATCGTAAATTCATACAGTTATAAGTACATGAAATGAAATATTATTTCTGTACTCGAAAACAATTTTTTGCGTAAAAACGGTTGTTGCGGGCTGCCTCTGTGGAGTTTTGGTGCAAGAGGTCCCCAATTGGTCCAATTGGGGACCTCTTGCACCAAAACTCCACAGTTTTGCCCAGTTGCAAGCCTAAGTTGCTGTGGTGTATTTCCGCTTTAGGTCGTACATGATCAACTTTGCTTGCTGACTGGACAACCCGGTGTGTAGATGGCTCTTCAAGGAAATACGTCTTTCGTAATGGAAGACATTAATCTTCCTTTGAGTAGAGCCCTACGGCGACAAAACTGGGCAAGCCCCTTAAACCGAAACCCGAAGCGCGAAATTTAGTTGAAATTCTTTTGACAATGAAGAAACACAGAGAAAAAATCTTGGTATGTAGTATTGGGCATGAGATAGTTGAAATGAAGAAAACAAACTTCCCATCTCGTATTGATTAGATAAAGGAAGTAATGTTTAATAAGAATAAATTTTGGGGTTTCAATGTAAATCCGCGAAATGTATCAGGTCGATATTTATAGGGAAGTGATGTGGGAATAATATCATTGAAAACGCAAGTGTGTGATGCGTTTCGATGTTAAACGCATGCCCTTGTTGCGTTTTGGGTACTGTACAGTTTGGACTGTGTTGCAGGTGTGTGATGTGCATGAGGCCGTATTGCAGATATGTGTAGTCACCTCAGCCCAGAGAAAACGCAACTCCAAGTTGTGTTTTCGTATGTGATTTGTACATACCGATGCATGCTTTGATTTGATAGTCCAAGGGCCATGTGATGATTTGATAGGCCAAGCCCAATCTGCCAGTCTAGAAAATGCAATTAGCAGTTGCGTTTTAGCCATTGACAGGGCAAGAGCAGATGGACCATACACTGGGCTGGCGGATAGTACATCTAAAACGCAAGGCCCAATAGCGTTTTAGAAACTTGTATTGATAGAAATAATATGGGTATAATTATTGAATAATGTTCGATTAAGTAATGAAGATTCAAGTTAAGAATAATATATATTGAATAAAAAAAATGATTCTAATTCCGTAAAGTCAAATTGTACATTTTTTTGGAGATGATGTTTTTTGTTTTATTCTGAGTGTATATTGTGTTTTATAATGTACATTCATTATAAAAATGTACATATGATGGACCATGGTCCACACAGTAATTTGTCGTCATATGGTGGCTTAATGTTGGATTATTGAACATACTGTGATTTAAAGTAGTATAGAATAGGTATCAAAATGTTGTTGATTTAACCGCAAAGTTTTATTACTAAAGATCATTACATTGACGTGGATAACTGGTGAATTTCTCCAAATTCATTATCCGTAATATTGTAGTTGATTGACCATGGATAAATCTTCTCTATGTTACAGGCGATAGCAATTGGTAGCATTAGTATGACATGTTGGTCGACATTGAAGAACACAACTCGGTCACAGCCATCTAAGTGAAAATGATCATATATTTGCTCACATTGTTCGTCATGGAATACCAAACTGTAGTCGTAGTAGAGTTCTAGTTTTCTTTGACCAAGCACGAATATTAGTGGCCCATCGACTTCGATTGAATCTCGGAAAAATTCACTCAACTGTTCACGCTGCATTTTTGAAATAATAGAATTGTTAGTTATGATTCTTACTGCGAATAGCGTGCCGAAATTATGATACAAAGATCTACAACGCTCTAATTGTTCAAAGTCATATGTTGGCGGTATGGCTGACCGCGCTGGGACGTTGATGGATACTGTTTTTACGACGTTATTTTTAGTATGTAACAGTCAAATATAAGATTGGCGTGTTGGGTCACAATTCTAAACTTACCGGTATCGAACTGGCGAGTATTTCTTCTGGGACCAAATTGATTGAACTCTCGCTTTGGACTGTAAGAGTCCACGCTAAACAAGTAGCATTCGAAAATGAAATAACTTGTATGTCGAAATAAGACAATGTCTCCAGGGTATAAATCATTTTCGATCTTAAAATCGCTGATTCCCGTTGTAAATTGCATATCGTCTATCCAAACTTCTATCCATGCACTATGATGCCATAGTATTGCTTTCGTCGTCATATGTTGCATTAGATGGCGATGCATACAATTTGGAATTCGCTAGTATATAATTGTAGGGTATTTGTTAGAAAGAATGCAGTTATAGCACGCAGCGAATCGGTAAGAGTATTTTGGTAACGTATTACCATAGGTAGTTCGAAAGAGACTTGGATGGTAAACCAAGCAGCTGCGGACTCACTGACATCTGGCATATGCATTATGTCGTTGCAAGCTTTGGGAAAAAATAAAATACAGTCATATTTACATATACGTAGCCAAAACCGGTTTGTATAAATTACCAAGAAAATGTAAATCTTACGCGGAGGGTAGTAGAGTTGACGTAGACTTTCAAATATTCAGAGCGCATATCCTTCTGCTTGATTTTGATTTGAAAAGATCCGTGTTTCCGGCACCGTTATACCCAACATCAATAGATACGTTCCCCATCCACGTGTTGGATAACATACAAAAGTATTGCAGGTCCTCCTATCAACATGCGCATACCGTATCTTCCTTCTGTGTATCGTGATTGCATGGTACAGAAGACGATGAACGAAGTTGGAAGTCATGTCCGGTAGTATTTCAAAATCATCAAAAAGATTCATTACTAACGGAAAGAGAATATTGTTGGGGAATGCGAATGTGTAGTATAGGACGATAAGCAAAGCAGTGTAACGGTGCTCCCACACCTATGTAAGACAAAATATATACTCATGATGGGTTCACGCATCTGTCTTTTAATAATAATTTGGGTACGGGTAAAACGCAAGTACGACATGCGTTTTTGTGGAAAACGCATGTCGTACTTGCGTGTTTCTCCTTTTTCCTATAAATAAGGCTTTGTAACAAGTTGTTATTGTGCATTGATTTTGAAATGTACGTACATTATGTCAAACACCCCCATAAAACAATACGGAAACATGTTAAATTTAGTATTATGTGTTGTATCATCTTTGAGGGAAAAAAAAAAGAAAATGTTTACGGTAAGATAGCTGTTCATATATATATATATATATATATATATATATATATATATATATATATATATATATATATATATATATATATATATATATATATATATATTGATAATGTAAATACCACGTGAGCACTTACGATCAATAAAGTCCAGATCAATTAAAGAAAATAAAGTCTTTTATTAATCCGGTAAAGGTCCTAAGTACAATCTACTTGGTCGCAACGAGTACCGACTGGGTGCGGTCGGGATTCTCTGAATACAACCTATCGATCGTCCAAAAGTCCTTTACACGGTAGCGCCGGTGGGTATTTATAGCCGCAGAGCCTGGGAGAAGAATCCGGCTGGTCGGCATGCCTCCCACGTAGCCACCACGTGTCACCCGCTCGGGCGCCCCGTCTGTCGTCGTCTAGTGCTGCCACGTGTCTTTAGCCAGCACTCACGCCTAAGGGCTGCCGCTCGGTGGTTGACACCTTTGGTCGGGCAATACCGGTCGGGTACCGACCGGGCTCTTCTACAAAAGATCCGACCTGTAACCTGCAAAACAAGCAAGAAAGAAACCCGAGGCATGTCGGTCGGGGTATTCCCTACCAAGAGCCCCCCAGCCCGTGCCTTTTAGACCGCTCGGGAAAAACGGGGCGGGATGGAGAAGTTCAAACGTCCGTGGATAACCCAACCGGACAGCTGTCATTCCCTCTCGCCACGTGTTGAGCTCTGCGCGCCTAAGGAAGTGCAATCGTCGCCTCGGGTTCAGGAACGGTCACGTCAGGCGTGATGATTGGTTTCCCGCCCAAATCTCTTCCTATAAATAGGCCTTTGAGAACTTCATTTGAACTTTCTCCAATCTACTGAAGCGATCGGTACTCTCAGAGGATCCCGAGCACTCTCTACAGCGGATCGATCGAGCAAGGAAATTTAATCTCCCACAAGCAAAGTTTGCCCACTCGGTAAGTTCTCTAGTTCCCTTTTCTCATATTTCCTCTTATGCCGTAGCTTTAGGTAAATAGGAACCAGGTAGCCTCGACCTAGCGTCCCCGAGCCTTTAACTAACCCCGACCACCCCTAGGTAGCAGAGATGTTAAGCTCAGATAGTCAAAACGCATCGATCGGTGACTACGATCAAGATATTGAGCACTATAGTGAAGAGGAGATAGACATCATGTCTTACTCTCCAGAGGTCGAGCAACGACCTAGCAAAGCCCCCGAGCGGGCCTCTACAACGCAAGAACCAACAAGGACGAGCGGATCGTCAGGATCCAGCTCAAGTGGTTCTGAAAGCTCGGGTAGTGAAGAGACCTCCACGAGTGGACGAGGTCTCCCGAGCAGAGGTGTTAGGGAAACACCGACCGGGGTGATAGGGGATCACCCGGATACTATCTCCCGACCACGCGAAGAGCCAGTCGAGGACGAGATGGCCGAGCCAGCGGCCCGGGTAGATGACGACGGCTTCCAGTTTCTCAACAGCGACAGCGTCGCGGGGGAAATGAGTGACCTCACCAAGGGGGAGGCTGCACGGATTGCGGAAAGGCTAAGCGGCCGGGTGGAGTTCGACACGAGCAGGCGGCTCGGGAACGTGATCGACCGGCACCAAGGCAAATGGATCGGGATGCACTACGACTCCCTAATGGCCCCGATTGAATTCCCTTTCCTAGCAATCCTGACGGCGTTCCTGGGCTATTACCGGGTGGTACCGGCTCAGATTTGCCCAAACGCGCACCGGATTCTCGCCTGCTTCACCCAAATTTGCGCTCAGCACCAAGTGGCGTGCTCGATGGAGCTTTTCAACTACATATACCAGGTGAAAGTCCTCTCGGGAAACTATGGAGGCGGTTTCTTGATGATGCAGTCCCGGGAAGGACGTTGCACGATCTCCGGATTGCCCGGGAACAACAAGGGCTGGAAGAATCGAATATTCTCGGTCAAATACGACCCATGGATTCTCCCGGTCGACAGGGTGTGGAGCACCCATTTCAGAAAGCAAGTGATACCGGACGAGACTCCACTCCTCCGGGAAGCCGTGATGAGAACCTCGAGCGAGGTTCATGAATACAAGATCTTCCGGACGGCGGAGAGCCTTGCCGCGGCCCGGTTGCCCGAACCGGTGTACGAGCTGAGAGAGAAGTACAAGCCGGTCCCGATGGGAGTTGTGCCCGGAGCCCCCGCTCGGGGAAAACGGAAGGCAGCAGGTCTAACCCTACTAACCCTTCTAACTTCCCGATCACTGGGCTCATTCCCGCTCTAACCAACTTCTCCCTTTTTTGCAGATATGGCGCCCAAGCGTGTAGTCCGCCCGAGCTCTCCCCCCCGAACCAAGATCACGTTGGGGAAGAAGAAACCCGCCGCAGGCCCATCCGGGGAAGAGTCCATCCCGGTCGGGCGACCAGTCAACCCGGTCACTCTGGTGACCGAGGAAGGGGGCGTGGTAGACGCCTCGGAGACTCTGGTCACTCGGGTGACCAGTAAGTCGAAGGGCTCGAGCTCAAGCCGGCCGACCGAGACATCGGCCCAGGAAGTGGCCGGAAACAAACGGCAGCGGTCGGAAAAGAGTCCGACTCCCACGATCGGCTCCGGGATGGCCGACGCTTCCATTCTCTCGCGGATCGGCAATCTGACGCCGGTCGGTCCCGAGCTGTCCAGTCTGAGCTCGACCCAGCTGGCCGAGCGGCTGGGGTACGGTCTCACTGAGGTACGACCGCTTCTCTCTTTTCATTCTATATCTTTTAAGTATTAGCATCCGGGCTAATAATTCTCCCTGTGCAGGTCTCTCGGATCGGGGCGCTCCTTCACGGCCAAGCTCTAATGGCCACCGAAGCCGATCGGTACGAGAAGTTGGCCGATCGAAGGCTGAAGGAAAACGCCGAGCAGGCGCTCGAGCTGAAGCGGGCCAAGGACGCGCTCAAGAAAAGGGAGACCGAGCGGGCCGCTATGCTGAAGAAGATCACGGAGCTGAGGGAGCGGCTTAAGGGGTCGGAAGCCCGATCGTGCAACCCGGACGAGGCGGTCAAGTACTTCTTCCGGGACGTGGCCCCGGGTATAGAGTTCATGCGAAAGATGCGGTCAAACGTGATCGCGGATGAAATCGTGTGGACCTTCGGCAACTGGGCGTACAGTTCCGGGGAGAAGGATATGCGCGATCGCACCGAAAAAATATGCAGGAGGCGCTAGAGGGTGAGGACCTCGAGCTGGTTTTGACCACGCTCCCAAGAGCCCTTCCCGACCCCGGGCAAGACCCCTTCGATCCCGAGCTGGAGATCGTCGAGCCCAGCAGAGCCACTGCCCAAGTGGAGCCGGCCGGGAAAGAAGCGGCCACCCCGAGCGATGCCGAGGCCGCCCAGAAATGAAGACTCCGATCTTCTGTCCCTTCTTGTAATACCATCAATCGGGAGCCCGGTCCCGAGTTTGTACCGGGCGAACTTTACTTTCAATAAAAGTTCTTTTTTATCGAAGTCTTCTTGTTCGCTAATTTTATGCTTTATGCTTTTACTCGCTTTGCATGTACGCTCGAACGTCAAACAAACACTACGCACGACCATATGGCCTAATGGCCTAGCCGTAGATTCCCGACTGGCCTTATTGGTTTGGGATAATCCCGATCAATCGGCCTTGTCGAAATTTTGCAAAAAATGGCCCTTTCGCTCGGGGTATTCCCGATTGCTTAGGCCTTTAACACTTCCTTAGTCCCAGCCCCCACACTTTTGTACGCTCGAGGTACGAGTGGGTGCGAAAGTGGACAGAAGTCGGACGGAACGGGAAAATGTGCTGTGGGCTCTAGCTTTCCCGATCGGTGGCGTGACCAGATGTCCGCCGAAGAGGAGCGCGATCGGTCAGTCGATTACATCGCCCGACCTGATAATGCGTGGCTTACAAAGTCACTTATTAGGAGGTTATTAGAACCTATTTTTGTGCCCCTATCAGTGAGACTGAGGGAGTGGCATTGTGGAGCTTAGAGCCCCCAGTGTTGCTGTTGTACGGTCTCGATCGGGTGACACGCGAATCGGGACCGAATGAGAAACAACTCACAAAGGTGAAAAAACCGATCAGGCCGCCGTGTGCAAACGGTCGAGCAATCACTGATCGTATATACATTACTTTTTCCCGTACGCAGACGGTTAGAAATATTTACAATATTCACAAAGATAACGAACGAGGCTAACACGCAGGTTGAGCCCCCACTCCGTTAAAAAATACATTAAAAACTAATGTCTGAACATGACGAGGTGCTCGGAATTCCAAGTACCCTCGATCTCCCGACCAGTTGTTGTTTCCAGTCGGTATGTCCCCGGCCGAACGACTGCACGAACAACATACGGCCCTTCCCAATTTTGCGCGAGCTTCCCTCCTTCAAGCGGTTGACTGGCCTCACGTCGTCGGAGCACATAATCTCCCACTTGGAAATACCGGGGGTTGACACGAACATCCCTGGAGCTCTTCACGCGCTTCTGATACTCCGCCATGCGTCGAGCGGCTAGCTCCCTCTTCTCCTCGACCCCATCGAGATCCACGACCATTGAATGCTCGTTTTCCTCAGCGTTGAATGTGCGTTCTCGAGCGGTCGGGATCCAAGCCTCGATCGGTAATCGAGCTTCTGCTCCATAGACAAGGGAGAACGGAGTTTCCTGAGTAGCTTCCCTCGGGGTCGTTCGGTAGGTCCACAATACGTATGGCAATTCATCAGCCCAACTACGACCTGCCGAGTGTAGCTTCTTTTTCAGACCTTCCAAGATTGTCCGATTTGCATTCTCCACTTGTCCGTTTCCCTGCGGGTAAACCACCGACGATCGAACATGGGTTGTCCCGATCGTGGCTAGAAAGTTCTGGAAATACTGGCTTACGAATTGGCGGCCGTTGTCGCTGATGAGATGCACGGGCACACCAAAGCGGGAAACTACATTGCGCCATAAGAACCGAGCACACTGCTGGGATGTGATCGTTGCTAGTGGCTCAGCCTCGATCCACTTGGAAAAGTAATCGATGGCGACTATTACGAACTTTCTTCGACCGGCCAGCTGGGGAAAAGGCCCCAAAATGTCTACCCCCTACCTTGCAAAAGGGATAGCGGTCGTGACAGGCTGGTAAAAGGTGGCCGGTCGTCCGGGCATCCGTGCAAACAGCTGGCACGTCTCGCAATCCCGAGCGAGCTTATCACAATCAAGTTGGATGGACGGCCAATAATACCCGATCACCATGATCCGACGGGCTAGTGATCGGCCTCCTTGATGTGAGGAACAGATGCCGGAATGTAACTCTTTCATCACGAGGTCGGCCTCGAATGCGGTCAAGCAACGCATGAGCGGGCCTCCATACGACCGTCTATAAAGACGTCCTTCCAAGACTTGGAACCTCGGGGCTCTAAGCTTGGTCTTCCGAGCACGCTGGGGGTCGTCTGGGAGCCGACCGTGCTCGAGGAATTGTTTCAGATCGGTGATCCAGTCGTCTTCTGCCGGTTGGATGGGATTAACCGGCAACCGGTGGATGCTGTGCTTAGGGATCACCAAGATCCGAGCGATCTTCGACATGTGTTCCGGGGCGTCCTGAGCCAACTTGGACAGAATGTCAGCATCTGCGTTGTCCAGTCGGGGAATGTGATGGACGGTGTAGCCGCGGAACAAAGCTAACTTTTCCATGGCCAGGTCTCGGTATTGTTGTAGTCGCTCGCCATTCACTTCATAGTCTCCGAGAACCTGCCCGACCACGAGCGCGGAGTCTGTCTGAGCCCTCAAATATTCAGCCCACAGGTCCCGAGCACACTGTAAGCCGTTGACAAAGGCTTCGTACTCGGCCTCATTGTTGGTCGGGTGAAATTGGTACATCAGGGCAAAATAAACTTTGAATCCCTCCGGGCTCGTCACGACGACTCCTCCTCCCGCACCCTTTTTGCTACTTGACCCATCAGTAGCTAACGTCCACCACTCAGCCTCGGGATCCGCAACCTCGGTCGGTTGGTTGTCCCGGGCGGTGCACTCGACCAAAAAATCTGCCAGAGCTTGGCCTTTGATTGCTGGTCTCGGACGGTACTCTATGGCATATTGGGTCAGCATTAACGCCCACTTGACTAGGCGACCGGATGAGGAAGCGGTGCGGAGGACCGGACCGATCGGCTGATCGGTCAAAACTCGAATCGGTCGACCCTGGAAGTACGGGGCCAACTTCTTCGCTGCAATGTAAAGAGCATAGACGACCTTCTCTAGCCGGGAGTATCGGAGCTCGGGACCATGTAGCGCGTGGCTTACATAGTACACCGGTCGCTGAACTCCTTCCGGATCGGTTCGGCACAATACAGCGCTTACTGCACGATCGGAGACGGCGAGGTACACGTCTAACTCTTCCCCGAGCTCGGACTTTGAGAGCACGATCGATGACATCAGATATTCCTTTAGCTCATCAAACGCCGCTCGGCAATCTTCGTCCCAGATGAATCCGTTCACTTTCCGCAATACCTTGAAGAAAGGTAAAGCGCGCTCGGCTAATTTAGAGAGGAACCGGCTGAGCGCTGCCAACCGACCGGTCAACTGCTGGACTTCCCGAACGGTAGAAGGTGGTTGCATGTCCAGTATAGCCTTGACCTTGGCCGGGTTGGGCTCGATTCCCCGCTTGGTCATCATGTAGCCGAGGAACTTCCCGGTCTGAACTGCAAATGTGCACTTGGTCGGGTTCAGCCGCAACTGGTACTTCCTCATGATCTGGAAGCACTCCCTCAGATCCCGAGTGTGGTCGGATCGGTCCCGACTCTTGACCAGCATATCATCAATATAAGCTTCCATCGTTCGGCCTAAAAGATCGGCAAAAAGCATGTTTACCATTCTCTGATATGTTGCCCCTGCATTGCGTAGGCCGAACGGCATCACTCGGTAACAATACAGCCCGTCGGGGGTTACGAAGGCTGTCTTACTCTCGTCTTCATGGTGCATCATGATCTGATGATATCCCTTGAAGGCATCCATGAAGCTCATCAACTCTGCCCCTGCTGTCTCATCGACCATCTGGTGGATGCTCGGTAAAGGATACGGGTCGAGAGGGCAGGCCTTGTTCAAATCCGTAAAATCAATGCACATCCTCCACACCGGGGGTTTGGGAACTAGAACAATGTTCGCCACCCACTCGGGGTAGATTACTGGTCGGATGTGCTCGATCGCCGCCATTTTCTTGACCTCCTCGCGAACGAACTCGCGACGATCGGAAGAAAGATGCCGGGTCTTTTGCACGACCGGCTTCGCCGCGGGATCAACGGCCAGTCGGTGACAGATGACCGTCCGGTCAATCCCGGGCATATCCTCGGGCCCGCATGCAAATATATCAGCGAATTCCCGGAGGATCGCCAACACTTCCGCTCGTAGCTCAGGGGTGAGAGCCCGACCAATCTTTATCTTCCTGTCCGGTCGGTCCTCGGACAGGGGAACTTCCTCAATTTCCTCAGAAGGCTCGGGTTGTTCTTTGCGCTCGGCTGAGGCCTCCTTCACTATGGTGTTCACCCGGGAAGACGTGCCAGTATCACGTCTATTGACCGCCTGGGTGTAACACTTCTGGGCGGATTGGACATCGCCTCGGACCACGCCGACCCCGTTCGGGGTAGGAAATTTCATGCAGAGGTGCGGCATAGAAATTATCCCACCTATCCTCATGATGGCGGGTCGGCCCAAAATAATGTTGTGGACGCAATGGAGGTTGACCACAACGAATTCCAGCTCCGTCTTGATCGACTTCGGAGCAATACCGATCTCCACGGGGAGTGTT